CACGAAAGTAAAAGCATATTTAAACTGCAGTGTCTCTGTATGCTGGTTTGTGTGTTCTCCAACACAACTCTCACGCTTCTCTGAACGCACTCGGTCTCCCAACGGGGAGCTTACCTAAAAGTGTGGAATTGAAGGATTTATATTCCTCACAGACAGCTGATCATTTGCATTCTTTTCAGAGAGTCCTTGAGACCACCTGGAGGTTTATCTGTGTCCTCAGGGTCACCTGAGTACTGCTCCTGTGATTTGCATTTTTTCCTCTGGAAATCCGTTCCTACTCCCACACCATTCAAAGGGCGTTCAGCCCAAATTGTACAGCTAAAATTCTGTAGAGATTCTCAGTCATCCAGGTCATGGTTGTCCCAAAGCAGAGGTGGTATTCAGCAGGTTCTGACCAGTTCTGGAGAACCGGTAGCAGAAATTTTGAGTAGTTCGGAGAACTGGTAAATACCACCTCTGGCTGGCCCTGCCCCTTCTATTCTTTACTTCCCGAGTCCCAGCTGATTGGAAGGAATGGAGATTTTACAGTATCCTTCCCCTGCCACGCCCACCGAGCCACACCCACAGAACCGGTAGTAAAAAAATTGAATCCCACCACGGTCCGAAATGTGCTTTTTTCAGAAGGCAATTGGACTTTCTTATCCAGTTGCCTCCTGAAAAAGCACCTTTGGGACAACCATGAAGTGGATGACTGAGAATCTCTACAGACTGACATTGAACAGGTTTAATGAGGCAGGAGGAGGTAGTCCTCGACTTATGACCCTAGTTGGGACTAAAATTTCTGTTGCTAATTAAGGCAGTTGTTAAATACTTTGTGCCCAATTTGACCTTTTTTGGCCATGATTGTTAAGGGTATCAGTCAGTGGTGAAATTCATTTTTTTTTACTACCGGTTCTGTGGGCGTGGCTTGGTGGGCATGGCAGGGGAAGGATACTGCAAAATCTCCATTCTCACCCCACTCTGGGGCCCGTCAGAGGTGGCATTTGCCGGTTGTCCGAACTACTCACAATTTCTGCTATCGGTTCTCCAGAACCTGTCAGAACCTGCTGGATTTCACCCCTGGTATCAGTGCAGGTATCACTGATACCCTTAACAATCACGGCCAAAAAAAACCCACAAGTGAATCACAAGGTCTTTAAGCTTCTCTCATTGCCTTTGTCAGAAGACACCTGGAAGATTGTATTGACCTCGGGAGGCTGCAACTGTCATAAATTCATGCCAGTTGCCAAGCACTGAATTTTGATCATGTGAGCGATACTACGATGATCATATATGGTCATAAGTCCCTTTTTTCAGTGTTGTAACTTTGCTTACTGAATGAATGGTTGTTAAATCGAGCACTGCCTGTCTAAACAAATCATCTGGTCCTCATCCTAAATGTGGCTAAATTTAATAATGGGGGGTGGTTCTTGACGGCTTAGCATTGTCCATAAATTCATGTGAGTTAGTTTCAGGTCCAGTGCATTGTGCAAAAACAGAAGATGGATTTGGTACCCAAATTTTGTACTGCATGAATACGATGCAGTCTGAATGCTTGATCTCTCATCACTGTTGGTCCAATGAAACGCATCCTTTGACCCACTCTTTTTATTAGTGCAATAAAAGTCCTGTCCACACTGCTTAGCTAAAAACAGCTTTACTTTCCTCCCCCACATCTTTTAACTAATTCTCCCTCTCCATTCTGCCCCACATTTCCTATCGACATTTGCTCTAAAAGTAAATGATTTCAGGAAAAAGACTGTTAAGTGGTATGACCCATTTTACTCCAGACAGGGAAAAAGCAATTCTGGCTCTTTCCCGCCCCCCCCCCTCGAACCCAGAAGCTAAAAGGTTAGCCGAGACCTTGACTTGATCATGATGGAATTCCTTAAAGTCTGATTTAAAAAAGGGGGGGGAAATCTGTTGACACCGCAGGCTCATAAGCATATTTTTAGCAGAGCTATAGGCGGCAATTGGGCATTTTGTAAATGTATAACCCCACATGCAACACACTCATAATTCACTAATGTTTGCTGAATGACAGGGTTAAGTGGCTGCTATTCCCCCTCTCCCACTGCACTAATATATTCAAGATCTGCTCTCTTCCTCTTGCTGGATGAATGTCAAACTGTTGCCCGAGCTGCCTAGATCTAGCGGCAGTTTTCCACCACGGAAAAGCCCAGCTTTGTAAAACGATCATTTGTTTCTCTAATTTTTCCCTTGGACTTTCACTAATCACCAGTCCCATTAAGATTTTGATGGGGTGACTGCTTTCCAGAGACAAGTGATGCCACGTCCAGCAGGGTGCTGACCTTCATCCGTGAATGCTTGGGAGTCCACTTCTTTTTATTAAGCAGCCCTAAGACCTCCTCCTCTTCTGTTTTAAGCCACTGGGATAAACTTTAGATAGAATAGAATAGCAGAGTTGGACCTTGGAGGTCTTCTAGTTCAACCCCTTGCCTATGCAGGAAACCCCTACACCACTTCAGACAAATGGTTGCCCAACATCTTCCAGTGTTGGAGCATTCACAGCTTCTGGTGGCATTTGTTCCACTGATTCATTATTCTCATTGTCAGGAAATTCCTCCTTAGTTCTAGATTGCTTCTCTCCTTGATTAGTTTCCACCCATTGTTCCTTGTCCTGTCTTCAGGTGCTTTGGAGAATAGCTCGACTCCCTCTTGTTTGTGGCAGCCCCTGAGATATTGGAAGAGTGCTATCATGGGGAGAAATTTCCTGACAGAACAATGAATCAGTGGAACAGAAGTTGCCTCCAGAAGTTGTGAATGTCCCAACACTGGAAGTCTTTAAGAAGATG